TAGTCTTGGATTCAAAGCATGTACAATAGAGAAACCTAGATCCAAGCATTAGGGTTTGTATGAGCACATAGGATGTCTTATGACCAAAACCCATCAATTTCGTCCAAGGGGCTTGGATAAGGCCTTTGGATAAGCTTAGGACCCATTTAGAGGAACATTAGGGTTTTCCCTAAACCCTAGATCCCCCAGCTATATAAGGAGCCTCCTGGCTCCCAAAATTAGCACTCCTTCTCTTGAAGAAACCCTAGGCCGATTTTTTCATACCCTAGCCTCTCTCCTCACAAGTTTCCTTCTTGCTAGCTCTTGGGTGTGATTCCATTAGAGGCATTACAATTGTGGTGCTAGGCTTCCAAGAAGATCAAGATCAAAGGATTACTAATTGTTTGCTATAACAATTGAAAGGTATGTAACTCTAAAACCCTAGTTGGTTGTGACCGGTGAACTTGAATTAGCCAACGGAGTCCTAATGAAAGTTGTAGATCTTGCTTTTACCTATGTGTGGAAAAAAAGAACATCGAAAACGGAGCTCGTATGCAAAAGTTATGGGGCTTAGAAGTCAGCAGGGTGCTACTGCAAAAGGGGTGACATGGCACAATGTAGGCCACACACGTTTCACCACCAGAATGCTGACACCTGGCCTGGAACTCGACAAGTTGGAGGCCAACTCGACGAGTTTTTGGGATTTCCAGCCTATAAATGGAGGTGTCGGGTTCCCTCATTCTTCACACCTTCCCAACTTCACTTTATCTCTCTAATTTCTCTCTCTAAAGCCCCAACCCCCCCCCCTAAACTCTAGGTAAATCCCCTAGAACCCGAAGGAAGTCCCGAGGCTCCAGAAGCCTCAAGAAAAGAGCCTTTCAGCTCAGAAACTCTGCTCCGATAGAGCCTAGTTTTCGAAAAACCCGCTGTAAGTGAGTTATGCCTACCCTATCTTTAGTATAGCTTATGTTTTAATATAGTAATGTTATTAGGACCTTATAATAAGTATTTGGGATATTATTATGGGTTATATAAGTATCATATAATATCTTTTAACGACTCGAGGTACGGGGGTTCCGGTTTGGAGGGCCGCTTGAGTTGCTGGATTCATAAGTGCTTATATGGCGAAATGATCCTGCCCTCCGGTGTTCCGTGTCTGGCCTCGTCTGTATATAGTCGGTGAAAAATATTGTGTTAACGCTTATATAATAGTAATAATAGCTAGACTATTAATTAGTCGCGGTTAACTTCAGACTAAACCATAGTGATATTGATACTAGGTTTTGTCGAGGAAATTGTTTTAAGAGTGACGAAGTGCTGTCCGAGTGCCAAGTCACCATCTAATCAGGTGAGTGCATAGTTACTTTCATCTTACACATGAATATGAAGTATTTTATATAAATAACGTGATATGTGTGCATACTATCTGAATACTTGTTGTCTATGTTGGATGAATGATTTTATACATGTTCTAAAATGATTTAAATTGTATATGTATTTTATATCTACAAATATATTGGGTATGGCATGGGTATATGAATAATGAGAGATAAAAGATGATGTGAGTAAACATTGGCAGGTATAGACTTAGTGCCTAATAAATAATATTGGTAGCTATGGACTTAATGCCTGTTGGACAAACACTGGTAGCTATGGATTTAGTACCTATTAGGTAAACAAGGGTGCCTATGGACTTAGTACCTGTTAGGTGTTGGTAGCTATGGACTTAGTACCTGGTAGTATGGACTTAGTACCTGTTAGGTGTTGGTAGCTATGGACTTAGTACCTAGTAGCTATGGACTTAGTTCTTGTTACATAAACATTGGTATCTATGGACTTAGTACCTACACTGGTAGCTATGGATTTAGTACCAGATAAATTAACTTTAGTAGCTATGGATTTAGTGCATTGGTAGCTATGGAATTAGTGTCTGTCTTATAAACCTTGGATGTAAGGGACTTCGAAATGAATGAATGCAGGATAGATGACTATTAGGGTAGACCCTTAAGAGTAAGGAAGATAATGGGGATGGGTAATTGGGTTTATTATTTGATGTTTAAACATAATAGTTATATTATTATGGGTTGAAAACCCTATGTACTCATCAGGCTTCCCAACCTGAACCACTCAGTTTATTTATATCAGGTGTTGATATGAAGTCACATTACACTGAGAGATTAAGTAGATATAAATCACTAGTCATAATGAATGTAAGTTCTATTTATGCTTATGTTTCTGTATTGATGATAACATCCTCAATGTTTTAAAATGAATAAAAATACTTTTCTTCGGAAATGCTTTGATAAAGTATTTATCATGTTTTACTAGGAACAAATTCTGCAACATTTTTATTAAAAGAGGTACTCTGATTTTTATAAAGCATAAACAAAATCGGTCTTTTCTGGCCGTGAAAATGGGGATGTCACACGTTGAGCATACCAAATTTATGTTGGGCGTACGCAACTCAGTCTCAAACCCTAATTTAGGGTCTTGGACCCTATTTAAAGGCCTTAACTGATTCTCAAACCCTCTTATCTTCAACCTCCATCCCATTTAACCCTAAATTCGAAACCCTATCCTCCATATGGAAGGTTTTGAGCATTCGAGTGATTTTGGTGGAGTTTTGGAGCTTTTAGAAGAAGAGGAACACCTTGGAGAAGTGTTGGTTGTCTTGGAGCTTGTAGATCCATGCCTTTTCCTTCTTCATCTAACTTCTGGAGGTATAAAATTTTGATCTTGATGCCTTTCTCTTGTAGATCTATTTTGGGTGGTAATTTGTCATGTTTTGGTCCCATGATTGTAGTTCTTGTGAGTAGAAGTTACTCTAGAACCTTTAAGCCTCATATTTGGTCCTTGTTGAGGTCATTAAGTCATAAAGTTTGGATCTTGAGGAGTATTATTCTTTCATCAAAGAATTAGTGACCTTTTTATGAAGTTATGAATCTTGGATTGTGGTTTGGACCCCATTAAGCCATGAAAAGTCATAAATTCAGGAACTTTATGAATTAAGACATCCCTTAGAGGTTAGATATATGTTTGGACGTTTTGGTCTTATGCATTAAGTGCTTAATGTGAGTTTTGGTCATCTAGTGAGTATGTTGGGCATACGTATGCGTACGCTCAACGTAATGCATGGATTTCCCATTTAGTCGTTGTGATGGGTTGTACATTGTGCTTCATCAGGCAGTACGTGGGGCATACTCTTGAAATCTTCTTTTCGGGCCTTTTGAGCCTTGGGTATTTCAAGAGTTGGGCCATGAGTTGTTGGGTTAGATTTGGGGAAGGGTAAAATGGTCTTTTATCCATTGGAAAGATAGATTATGGATTGGACCTTGGATTTTGGTAAATTGCTTTAATTATTGATTATTGATAGTCTGGTTGTGTTTAATGTGAGGATCCCGGTAGCAGCATCGCTGTAACACCCGGTTTTGAATCTGCTTCATTCACTACTAGAAAACTGGCCTTTAATGACGCGCAAACAATGACACTCGCCGATAGAGGGCGCGCATTTGTGGGTGCCCTAAAAAATAGTGATATTTTTTCAAATTTTGAAGGATAGAAGACACTCATTTGTGCGTGCCCTAAAATTAGTGTTAGAAAAGAAAAAAAAAAGGAAATGCGGAGGGCACCTTTTATAAAATGTTCGTCATGTAAGTATGTCGCTTTATAAATTTTTAATGAAACACGCCTTTTAGGCGGGAAATGATCGATCGACAAAAATCCCCAAAATTTTGGAGGACCCGCTCATTCATTCCTCTCCACTTGCCGATGACCTTCATTTTCTCCCCTCCTTCTCTCTGTAAAACCTAGCAGCCGTCACCACCAGAAACATGGTTTTATGTTGGCTTTGTTCTGTGTTGTAAGAACGAGAGTCTGATCCTTCATTAATAGCTAAAGGGGGAAAATCCCCCAAAATTTTGAAGTACCCCACTCACTCCTCTTCACCTCTACCCTACTCCATCTACAACGACTCCCCACGTTTACAAACCCTATAATTCAAAACGATTTTCCATTCCTCACGAGTGCTTTCCAGTCAACGACCTGATCAGCCTCATCGGCAACTCGGTCTCACCTCACCTCGTCAGCGAGCTGAGGCTCACCTCTACACACATGCGACTACAACTCTTCAAATCACCTTAAGCCCTACCCTTTCTCTATATTCAGGAGCCATTAATGGTGGCAAAGAAGATCAACAATGAAGACCAACTCGTTCGATTTCTCCCTAAAAATGGTGCTTCTCCTAAATCCAAGTTTACTCTTCACTCTCTGAGTTTGTTTTCTCCATAATTGATGCATCCACCTTCTCATCTCGCTCCCTCTACCAGGTTTTCTCTCATCTCTTTCCTCTATAGATGAGTTTGTTTTCTCCCGAAACCCTAACATTTCTCTCTATTGACGCTCCATCATCTCACGTTCATCTTCAAAAACAACTTCATCGGAAAAATGCAACCTGTAATGGTTGTGAAGAAGACCAATTGGTTCGAATATTCCCCTAAAACCTGGTACAACTTCTCCTTAATTCGACTTCACTCTTCAATCTTCAAGCGATTGACTGGTTTTTCACTCTCAAACCCCAAACCCTACATTGATTTGACACACAGAGAAACATATAAGTGTTGTCAACTACTGTGCTCCATTATTACCACATGGTGCTCTAGATTTTTTAGGGCTCGTTTCCTTTGTTCATCGCCTCCCTACCACAAGAGATCTTATAGTTCTTCCCAAATATACCCCTTCATTCATCTTTTCTATCAACATTGTATGCCACCAACGTTCCTTTAAAGGTGACTTCTTTTTTTATTTTTGATAACTTGAGCCCTAATTTGTATCTTGCTTTAACTTTTCTATCAACATCGTATGGTTTGATTAGTGTAAGTTTTTTTCTCTAATTTGGTAGATTTGCAGTTGCATACCAACTGTTTGTTTAAATGCCTACACACCACTTTAGTGAAAAAGGAAGTGGATAACACAGACATCTGGTAGCTCATATTATTGAGTATTTATATATGTGTAGTAGGATTATGAATATCCTTCCAATCAATATAACGCTCATACTGGTGGTTTCAATTCAAGGAGGTTATGAAGATTTTGTTGTAGATCATTTGGTGATGGAATTTTGTGCTGAAGTTGAGTTCATTGATAGGATTACCACAAAAGGGCACTGTTCAGAAAGAAAAGAAACTGAAGTTGAGTGCGTGGGTGTGTTGTGATGCTTGTCATAAATGGAGATGTATATCAGCTATACTTGTGGATTCTATTGAATCCACTGAATGCAGATGGTATGATTTTATCTTTTTTCAACCTTTGATATAACAATATATATTTGGATGTGTCTAAATACTTTATATTTTATCACCTTGATATTAGGGTTTTTGCTTTGCTTCGTTTTTTCTATTTCATCCCATTCTCCCTCTTTTTAATGATTGAGACGATTTTAGTTTCTTTGTTTGGGGTATTTTTGTAATTGTGTCTTCTTTGACTTGCATTTTATTATTTCAGGGGCTTGCATTTTATTATTTCAGGGGCTTGCAATTGAATCAGTTGGTATGCAACGCCTACTTAATCGTTGATTGTCGCTTTCTTTCTCATACAAGATGGTAAATATTCGCAAATTACCCATTTCCCTTAAATTTACAGATAATCATGTATAAATTGAAGGCTGGTTCACTAGATGAACAGTAGGCAAAAACCTTCAAGTTAAATTTTACGATATAAAACATTTGTTGTATGTTTGTATGTATTTATTTGTGTGTCTACTAATCGAGATTAACTTGAATTGGAAGGATTAATGCAGTATATACTATATACCATATGTATGCTTAAAGATCTGTCTGCTTTTTTTCCATTAGATAATGGTTTTATGGTGTTTTCCTCCAGGCAAAGTTCAACACATAATTTAAGTATAACAAATTGTTGCCTATCAGTTAACTTCATAAAACCTTTTTGAATTTTCACCAATACTTTCTCAGATTTTGATCTTGCTGAACCACTGTGCCTCAAAATTTTATTTTCAAAATTTTTTTAAGGGAAAAATTACTAAAACACCCCTAATTTTAGAGACGGTTGCTCTAGTTACCCCCACATGCAACCGCCCCTGACTATAGCACGTGACAGAGTTATCGATACATTTATGTCTGCATTAACCTGTTCTATCGGTTTTTTGGATGGATCTTGTGAATTTATGAACACTCAACATTACTTGATTGCTCATTCTCTCTCATAAAAATAAATACGAAACCTGTGGTTGATGAAGGTAATGCATACCATCTTAATTGACCTTAGTTGTTTTTTACATTTTAATTCATTCATGATTCAGCTTTTCAGAATTTTTGTCATTGCCTTATCAGATTGTTAATCAACTACTTTTAAATGGTAATATCTATGCAAATTAAATTCATTCCTGACTTTTTTTACTCTCTTCTATTTACTTCCCAGTTCTTTTGTTTTTGTCACAGAGCCTAAACCTTGTTGATCAAGGTTAAACTCCACGTTTACAACTTACAATTATGATGTATGTTCATGGAAAATTTGTACAATCATGATTCAGAGTCAATATTTTCATAATTTGGAATTGTCCTTGCAATTGGAACTTTAAGAATAAGATTTTCAAATATTTGTTATAATTATTATTATTGTTATTATCCATGTGAACTTTAAATTCTTGTTATTGGTAGGTTAATATGATTCGAAAAACCACCATATTGGATGTGATGAGAAGACTTCTTCAGGAAAGAAAATGTTAGATGATATTTAGTGAAGCTTTGATTGTCATACTCATGGGTGCAAAAAAATTTATGTTTTGCAGACAAAGAATATCATGGTTTCATCACATGCTGGGACAAAAGAAGCCAGTCAGGCAAAATATATCTCGATACTGAACATCATTCAGGGAGAAGTTGACCCAACTCAGGTCAGTCAAGTCAACATACATTTTGCAATATGAAAACTTCCATGGATGATATTGTAAGATGCTTTTACTATTAGGTTCATGATAGTTTGCAGCAAATACGTGAAAGAAAGCTTGTTAATTTCATTGAATGGGCTCCTGCTAGCATTCAGGTATGTAATGTTTCCTGCTAAGGTATTACAATTTACAACCAAATATTCTTTTTAAATTCTGATATCAATTTTTTTTGCCTTACGGGACATGTTGATCTTTCAAGAAAGTCTCAATATGTTCAAACTGCCCACAGGGTAAGATTCGTATAAATTAATGTGGGATTTATTTATTTATGAAAAGTAAAATGATGGGTTTATGGATATAAGAATTTTATTTATTTATTTTAGGTGAGTGGGTTGATGCTAGCAAGTTACATTGGAATTCGTCATCTGTTTTCTAAATGTTTGAGTCAGTATTCTCTCTAAGAAAGTGACAGGCCTTTCTTGACAAATACAGGGGCTTCCCTTTGTTTGATGTAAGTTATTCTAGTCTTATACTTACTGTTGATTCAATAAATACCTACATACTTCCATTTAATAGGAACTATAGTAAACAAATTTCAAGACATGGTCCCAATACAATTTAAGGTTTAAAAAACTTACGATAATTTCATGACATTTTACAATTTCATGTTATAAACCCTAATCTAAATTTCATGATCATTATTCATGGCATATGAGGATGAACTCTCAAAAGCAATTATTTTGTATAGAGTAGAAGCAGATACTTGGAATGCATTTGTTGAGTTTCTAGAAGCTGCTTGGGATTTCCAGTATTCTTTTATGGAGGAAAAGGAAAAGAAGGTCAAGTATGTAATTTCTAATTATGTCCATATTCAAGGTATATTTTAATTTTACACCTTTTGATTATGTAGCTGCAGAAACCAAGGTATATTTTAATTTTACACCTTTTGATTATTTATTGGCCTTGAAAATAAAAACATTGAAGCACTTTTTTACTGTTTTCATTTGGTGCAGGTTCTTACTATCTTTGGTGCAACAGATAGTGTTAAAGAGCAATTTTACCAAGCAATTGATAATGTTTTTAGGCAAGATGATTTCATATTTTGTATCTTATTTTGTATTTTGTATGACAGTAACTTTTGTGCAATGGATAGTATTTTTTGTGTATGGTATTTTATTTTCTATTATGAGACATGAAATGCAAACTTAAATTGAAAATTAGTAAATATATAAATAATATTTTTTAAAAAATAAAAATAAAAATTACGATACGCAAAAATGTGTGTCATCTTCCTTTATGACATGGCCTTTCTTGACAGTGACTTTAATGATACGCATTGCATGTCATAAATGCGTGTCGTCTCTCGTTATGACAGGGCCTTCCTTGATGCGCATTTGCGTGTCGTCTGAGCGTTTTACGACGCGCAATGAGCGTCGTAAAAGGCTGTTTTTCTAGTGGTGATTATTCGGCATTGAGGCCTAATCATCAGTTATCATAAGGCTTAAGGCCTTGGGAAAGACATGATTTGGTCTTTTTTGATGAGGGTGTTAAAGTCTAAGTAATTCAAGTGTTCAATGGTGTTTCGGAGCCCAAGGATATAATCGTAATTTGTTAGTTTGGGCCTTTATGTCACACCCCAAACTGAAATAGCGGAAACGTTCGGGGACGGAGGATGTTATGTAAAGTATCACAACCATTGCATAATAGTAATCAAAGGAAACACAACCATTACATTAATAAACATTTTATTTACATATTGTTAGATACATAGTTTGTATGACAAATATTAATGTATAAAAAAAGTAATAAGACGTGACTCTAAAAGCTTTGTGTTCTAAAAGTATGTAGAAGTACTGTCTACCAGTTCCCTGAGAATACAAGTGGTTTTGAAAGTGTATCAACATTTAAGTTGGTGAGTTTATAAGTATGTTTTTGTAATGAAGACTTGTCTTTGATCTTTGCAAATGTTTGTATGTTCCTCAAGAAAATCCAATATTTTCTTTAGTAGTGAAAAGTAGTCTTAGACCTTAAGACCAAAATGTACGTTTGTTACTGTATTCTATAGTAGTATATCTTAGTAATGTTTATTATGAAACCCTTGTATGAAAATCTTTGTATGTATGTCTGGATTACCACTAGTTGTATTGTATAATAGTGTACTTGTATGAAAACCTGTATATAAATCCCTAGATACCACCAGCAGTAATGTATAGTATTGTTGTGTATGAAAACCTTTGTATGAATCCCTGGATACCACCAGTAGTAGTGTATAGTAGTTTTATTACTTAAAATAAAACCATTTGAAGAGTTGAAATCCCGTAAACAAATGTTTTAGTTTATACTGTTATGAGTTTCATATAACCATGCTTGATGTGATCTAGTGACCTCTACGATGTTCTTCAGGCGTCAGAATGGTATGACATTTATCACCCCAGATCTGCCAGCCTAACTGTAGCTAGCAGTTCAGGTGTGGGATTGTCAGTCCCGTATAGATCTATACACAAATCTCACGCTCTGCCTCCAGGAGACTCTGGTTATACTGTATAGGATTTAGTTTTGTACCCTGGAGGATACAATTGAAGTAGTGCCTCACAACCCTATATTAACTAGTTTACGTGTAGTGTTGTATTCTTCTCTTGTACTTGAAAATGTATGTATAACCTTGTAGTAATGTACTTGTAATGTAAATAATTATACTTAAATAATTATTTAGTAATGTATCCATGTATCAGGAAAATAGTGTAGTGTTCCATAAACTATATATACCATAGTTTATATGTTTGTATCCAAATAATGTTCTTGAACTAGTAAAATATTGTAATGTATCCCAAACTATCATATTATAGTTTGATTGTATGTTCTTGTTCCGTGTATTGTACTTAGTAAAAGTATTGTAATGTTCTCAACCATACCAATTTTAGTTAAATTGAATGTTCTGTACTTCATTGAAAACTTTTACAATTTGGTTGTATGAAGGAAAAACACCATTATGCTCGACATGTTACTAAAGGGTTAAAATATATGAATATTTTTTAATGAAATGTAGCAGATACTCGGTTTGAATCCATTGCAAAGATTTTGAAACTGTATGAAAACATTTGAATAAAAACACAAAAGTCCTTGTATTTTACTTGTATTCCCCCTAAAAACATTGAAAATAGAGAAAATGTAGGGGGTATGAACTCACCTCTTGTACGTGTTTGTGCAAGGATAACAATGCTGTAGAGATGATCTTCGGGTTGACGTATGCGGAACTAACATTATCCTAATAATATTTAAACACTAATTGTATTTAAATTAGCGAAACAATTAATTTAAAGTGTTAGAAAACAATTGTTTTGTGTTGAGAGTATTTAGCGAGAATTGTACAAGTGATTAAAAGATTTTTCAGTCCTAATGCGGGTTCTCGGCCGAAAACAGGTTCTCATCCAAACACAGGTTCTCAGTCCTGGGTGGTTTTCGGTCACTTGAAGATTTAAAGACTATTCTTGGTGAAAATATGAAGATTTGAAGGTTTTCCTTTGAAGGTTTTAATGTTCTTGGATGATCATTGGGAGTAAAATGAGAGTGTTTTCGAGTGGAAATGTGAGAAAACGACTAAGTTTTCGAGGAAAAACATATATAACGGTTGGGTTTCGGTCGGAAAGGGGATTTCGTCCGAAATCTGTTTTCGTTCCGAAGGTTCTTGGCCGGTAAGGGATTTCCTTGTGCGAGGGTTTTTGGTTCCGAGGAAAATCTTGGTTTTTGTGTGTATTTCATTCCAAAAACTTCTATAAACATTATTTATATATTTTAAATAATTTTCGTACCTTTACAAACTTAACGATATGAATAAAATTCGAAATTTTATTTAACGGATTTGACTTTTGTTGACTTGGAAAGTATCAGGTTGTTACACTTTATGAATTTTGGTTTCTTGTTCGGGAATTTTTAAGGCAAGGGTGAGTTGTTAGAAGTGTAGGGCTTCTCATCACATTTCCGAGGATATAAAGTTCGTTGAAAACAGACTTAGGACGAAGGAGTTAAGGCTGAATGAAGTTTGAGAGTCTTAGAGGGCAATCTAGTATGCGAGGCGTACTAGATGCGTACTGGGTATGATGGTCGTGGGTGGTCTTTGAGTACGCCAGTCGTACTAAGGGGTACGTGGGGCGTACACCCTTCAGGCATGAAACCCTAATTTCTGGTCCTTGACCCTAATTAACCCTCATTTCTTTCACAAGCCTCGTATTTTATCATCCTCTAAGCCTCCTAAACCCTAGAAGTTGACCCTTAGCCTTTATCTTGGAGATTTTAAGCAATTGTGAAGGATCTTAGAGCATTTTTGTGCACTTTGAAGAGCTTGGAGCTTGTTGAAGAATCACCATATGGAGGGGAGGTTGTAGATCCATAAGTTTTCCATCTTTTGCGATCTACTAAAGGTAAAAAGCTTTGATATTGTCATCTCTTTGGTTAGATCTTCTATTGAGTTTTGATTATGTTCTTTTTTAGCCTTTTATGGTTGGTCCTTATGAGCTAAGGTTGTTTCAGAGTCTTGATCTTGTAGACTTGGACGTTTTAAGTGTTCCAAAGGCATTAAAAATGTAATCTTTATTGTTTATTTGGACTCATGCATGCGTTAAGACCCTTCATTAAGCTCTTTTGAGCTCTAGAATCCCATTAAGACATGCATGCAAGTAAAGTTGCCAACTTTACATGATAAGTCATCTATGGGAATCAAATATGAGAGTTTAGAGTAAGGACTTAAGTGATTAAGTGCTTTTTAAAGTGGTTAGGGTTTAGAGGTATATGTTGGGCGTACCCATATGGTACGTTGCGCGTATTGGTCCCAAAGGGTGTACGCTGGGCGTACTAGCTGAGAATGTGAGGTGTTCTCGGCCAGATTGAGTTTTCTTGAATTATTGACCTTTTTGACATTTGATCGTTGACCAGAAGTTTGACCAGGGTTGAATTTTTGTTATTTGGGCCTTTTAGGGTATTGGACCTTCTCGGGTTAGGTCTATGATGGGTTTGTGCCCAATTTGGATAATTAGGCCATATTTGGGCCTCAGATGCTTATTTTGGATTTTGAGCCTTTGGTAATCTAGTTTGGGCATTGGCCTTGGGCAAGCTTGAGGAAGGGTAAAAAGGTCGTTCACCATAATTTGGACTCATGGTGTACATCAGGAGCTAGATGTTAATGGGTTGTCATTTGTTGTATTTGATAGCGTAAGGATTTTAGCGGATCTGCAGTCAGATGTTATTCATGTGATCAGCTGTTGATGGGGTGTTGTATTGATGTTGGCAGTTCAGGGATCTGTCAGCCAGTAGCCAGTGATCGTCTCTGTGATTCGGCAGTGTGAGGTGAGTTGTCCTTACTATACTTGCGAGTTGAAGGCCCCAATGTTGGCTCATTGGATTGATATCCTGTTACGCATGCTACTGTACTTTTATGATCGATTAGATCGCTATCCTGGTAGATTGG